ACGACCCCCCCCCCCCCCTTTTTTTTTTTTTTTTTCAAACTATAGGAATAAATCTATTAAAGAGAAAGTGATAAATACTTTATTAATCTTTGCTTACATCTTTTTTAGTACACGTTGACGTATTTTAAAATTGTCCAAGCATGCCTAAGAGTAGGGTGTTAAATACCTTACTGGGGTTTTAAGTGTACCACTGAGTAACAGCTAAGCTGGTTAGATAATAATGTTTATTGCTGTGTGTACTCCTGATTAAATGGCAGAAAATAAATTATTATTTTTAATTCCTGGAAGTAACTCTTTATATCTGATTTCTGACAGGATACAATTAATGCACTTGAGGCCTTGACTGAATATTCACTTCTTGTCAAACGCCTTAATTTGGACATGAATATTAAGATCGCATACAAACACAATGGAGATCTCAATGCATTTAAATTGACAGAAGACAATTTTGTGGGAAAAACTGTGACAGTGAGTGAATAACATCGCTTTTGTAAAGCGAAAGCAGCATTCTTAGTGACTTGTTAAACTTGCTACTATGTCTGCTTTTTTGTTTTAGGATACGGGCATTGATTTGACACAGCAGACATTGGAGGACTTTGTTCTTTAAAAATCCCATTCTGCTAATTTGCATGCTCATTTAAATCTAGTATCTCTCTGCTTGTTTCCCCTGAATGTTTTGTAGAAGCCGTTTATAGCATGAGACCTTAATTTGTATTAAAAATAGAAAAAAAAGGGGGGGGAGAGGGGGGAGGGGTAACATAAGGTGGATTATCTGACTTGAATTATTATTGCTAATAGTCCTACCCTTATTATCAACTTAAATCTATTTTTATTTAACATTGTTCCTTTAGGCACCCTTGGATGATGACATATATGTAAGCACTGGCAGCAGCACTGGCTTAGCTACAGTAAATGTAAGTGTGCAGAGGCAATATTGAGTGCCCCTGCTTAGGCAGCCAAATGAGGAAATCCCCACTTAATGACCAATTTGAAATCACTTAATTCTGATTTTTCTACTATTTATGTTTTGCTCATTAAGCAGTGTCATTAAGGTATTGTTCATTTGCATTGTTGAAAGAAACAATTATAGTGTGTCTGTGACCATGGTGGTTTTTTCTAATCTTTCACAGCTTCTTCTAGCATTGAACTTAACATCTAAGACTTATTTTTTGAGTACTAGTATTCCTGCTCATAAGGATCCTATTGGATAATATTTTCAGTCTTTTAATAAAATCAGCAAGAGTGCTGGGCTTTACATTTGTGTCTGTGCTGATCATTTATTGGGCTTTGCACCAATTAAAATAATCCAGCTGTACAGACTTGTTTTTACTTCTATCATATTTTCCTAATTTCATATTCTCAATTTTAAATTTATGCCAGTCTTGAGGATTGTACACTCAGTGTTTTTATTATTTTGGTCTGTTTTTATATGCATGTATATAGGTGAGGACCGTATATAATATAATTGGTACTTCGGAAGAAACATGTAATTTTGAACTGAAGATTGTTCCAAAGAGTGATGATGGTAAAGGTAAAATGATTTTAAATACTGTTACTTAGGTCAGGAAAAAAGATCACTTTGTTTAACAAAATATGTCTTATTAAGAAGAAATAAATAAAAATAAATAAACAGAAAAGGCATATTTCCCATGGAGTTTCAATAACACTAATATAAAACACATTAAACATTAAAGCTGACAGTTCACCTGAATTACACAGGAACTGTGTGCTGCTTTTTTGTGGCTACATAGTGAGTTCCTGTGAAAAGCAGCTATCAAAAACAGGGAAAAAGAATCTTTCAATAATGACAGTGCTAATAAGGATTCTGATAAGCTTCGAAGAGTTATAAAATCATTTATTTTTTTCTTCTTGGTATGAAAAGGTTACAGAAGAGAAGGCGGGGAGCCCCTTGGGCGCTTAGAGGCTTGTGCAAAGTAAGTACAGCTTTTTGTGGTTTCTTTTTGTTTTGTTTGTTTGTTTTGTTTTTGTTTTCTTCCAGTGACTGGGCCTATGTTTTGCATGTGAAGATTTCATTTACATCAGATGCTAGTTCTAAGTGTCCTGATTTTCCTAACCACTTCCACATTCCTTCATACAAAGGTGGAATTCCCAGCTGACCTGCTAAGGAATTGGAGCAGTGCCAGGGGAAGGAATTAATGCCTTATGTGTGCATAATGAAATTCCTGTAAGAATATTACAAATGCGTTCTGGTCTTCTGATTTTTCTTAATTTATTGTCTTAATATTATATCGACTAGCACTTTTGTAATGAATTTCTCTGATTTTTAAATTATTAAAATGTTTTTATTTGCTATTTCTCATTTGTTAATTGCATTTACTGTTGTTTCTTTTCCCTTTTTCTTCCCTTTTATATATACGTATGAATAAATGTAGGACCAAAGGTCATGGCTTGAGGGAGAGAGTTTCTTTAACTTATGCCTGGATACTTCTGGAACATAAGTATTGACACTACCTCCTTTACGCTTTAGAATGTTATAAATCTGAAATAACTCATCTGAAATATTTAGTTTAATTATGGATTTACAGGGATCTAGATGTTTGTAAAATTTTCCTCAAGGTTTTCTGGGATTGTTTCCAAAGATTTCTTTTAAATTTCAGATCTGTTTACCTATAATTGCTTTTAAAGTACAGCTAATTTTTTTTTCTTTTAATTTATTTTAGGTACAAGCCCAGCATGAGAGAGCCACAGTCAGGGTCTGCACATGCTGTGATGGATATAGGTTTAGTTAGTGGACTGGATGCTAATACAGAAGACCTGACTACTGTAAGACTGCTGCATTTCCTGTTCTTCCTCTTGCTTAAAACAGATATGCAAGATATCCTGTCACATAAAAGTATTTTTTTCTTTCTTCCCCTACAGCTTGCAAGTGGAGTTGATCAACTGATTGCAGATTATGAGGTTAAAGATGGGCATGTTATTCTGCAGATAGACTCTGTATGTTATCCTTTCCATAACTGTAAGCATTACTTGATGTCTTAGGAATGACCATGTTCCCTTTTGGGCTCCTTCATTCACGTATCTGTTCAACAGGTGCCAGCTAATAATTTCCTCTGTGTTGAATTCAGAATAAGTGAACTTTTCCATGTTGGGATGATAAATCCTGCCACATTCACTGTCTATGAATATCATGCACCAGGTATGTGTACCGGGTATTCAAAGTCATGATTATTTTTGCTCCTTCTTCCACAGCTTTTTAATCCTTATTATTTTAATCTAAAGGAATTTCTGATTTACTACATTTTAGCGCTGTCTTCCAGGAATTTGCTTGTTTTAATAGAAATTTAATATTTATTATTTGGTCTTCTAGATAAACAGTGCACTATGTTATACAACCCATATGGAGATGAAAAACTTGTGAGATTATGTGAAGGGAATGAATGTAAATGCATGGAAGGTAAACTTTCTTTTTTAAAGTGTTTTCCCATTCAATTTGGTAAGAATGCAGTTTACTGCTTTGAGGGGAGAAAAAAAGTATGCTAATCACAAGGAATAATGCTCATAAGAACACAGCTGTTATCCTATTTAAAAACAGAAAAAAAAACTTTACATTTGAAAATTTAAGGAAAGATGTGTGCAGTTAAACCATGCATGTCTGACTAGATTAACTTCAGACAACTAGGGGAGATTTTTTTGGCTAAAATTTTAAAGATTTACTGTTCCAACATGCAATTCCATAATTCCTGTGTTTCTTAGAGCAGAGTATCCCAGGCAAGTAGAGATTCATGATGATATGAGGACATCTGCTTACATTCTCTTAATATTCTCTTTTCTTCTCAATGTAGCTGAGTGTAGCAGGATGCAAGAGAGACTAGATCAGTCGATAACTGCTGATACCCGGCGAGAAGCTGCATGCCAGGATGACATTGCATATGGTAATATTTGAATTGACGTTCCTGTTTGTCATGTTTGCACTAAAACGCTTGCTTTTTTTCCCGCCATAAAACACTTTGCTCCAATTACACTTTTAGTGATTAAAAATGATTAGCCTTGACACGAAGTGTATGAATGTGACATATTGGGGTAGAGAAGCATAAATGCTCCCTGTACTCTCTGAAAAAGTTTGTTTTCTGTTATTTTGCAGTTTATAAAGTGGACATCTTATCTCGCACTGAAGAAGGTTCTTTTGTTAAGTATGCTGCAGTTCTTCTAGATGTCTATAAGAGAGGTCAGTGTCCTAATTTTAATCCATGTAATTACTTCATTTAGAGTAGGAGCTGCCTGCTTGAGAACACTGAAGCAGCTGACAGAAACCAACAGTCAAACCTGGTCATTTCATGCAAGTAGAAAGCCTCAAGTTTGAGAATTTGATTGGAAAGTAGTTTAAAAAAGGCAAACTTTGTTTAGTGTATTTTTGAGCTGCTTTTCTACATGACAGCTAATTGTAAACAAGGTGAACATGTTCCATAACTAAATCAGATGCGAGTTATTGCTTAAATCTGTCCCATTCATTTCCTGTAGGCCCTCTCTTAATATATTCACTGTGATTGAAGTGGGAGAGATGTAGGGCTATAACTTGCCTTGGTGGTTCTCAGATTTTTGTAGGCTGGATATACCTCTGCCCAATGAGAGAGGACTTAATTTAGAATGCTCTTGAGCACTCAATATTTTATTCCTAGGAAAATGAGCTTCTCACAGGCCATGCAGAACCAAAGCTGATATTCACCCATCTTTACTCTGAAGGTGATCACTGCATATGGCCTTATAATAACCTAGTGTGTATAAGTCTTATTTGCCATTCAGATTTCATTCAAAAATTCTTGAATATTAATTTCAGACTGCTGGAAGCATATGTTTCATCTTATCAAGTTTACCTGTTATTTGTCTGTAGCAAATAGATCATTGGCTCTACTGTATTGTTGAATGTGTTTTTTATGTATAATAGATATGAGTGACTGGATGTTTTCTTTGTGGAATCTTCCAATTCTTGATGTTCTACTTTACTGCAGGGAAGGCTTTTGCTCAAAAAAATAATGAAGTAACCTTTGTTAAAAAGAAGACCTGTGCTGATGTTGAGCTGAGCCCTGGAATGCAGTATTTGATCATGGGAAAAGAAGCCTTAAAGATAAACATTGGTTATAATTTCAAGTAAGCAGATTATCATCAGCATATGCTCAGTTTTAATCCTAATCTTGATGTGCTAGTTCTGATATATTATACAATAGATAATTCTTTTGTTTTGACCAGGATTTGTTATCCAGTGTGAGTTTTCAGCTATGTAAGCTGAAAACAAGATGATAAACTCAAAGCAATCTGTTTCCTACTGTAATTTTTGTTTGCTATTTTCCTCCCCAGATTTTATAGGCAAATGTATATCTTCTGTTGTCTTTTTAGATTCCAGTACCCTTTGGACTCCAGCACTTGGATTGAATGGTGGCCTTCAAATATAGTCTGTACATCTTGTCAGGAGTTTTTAAATACAATGGAAAATTTTGCTGAAGATCTCATCATCAATGGCTGTTGATTTACTTACAGATATTTTAAATAACAAGTATAGATCTAATCTCATTTGGTGGGGGAAGTTAGCTTTTTAGTAATTCTTTCTAGAATTTAACATTTTTGGATGGTTCATCTTGGAAAATGCTCTTTTCTTGTATTTTTAGTCCCTTTTTATACAGTAATAATATTCAAATTATGATTTTTTTTTTAAACTTGGGTAGGAAAATAACACAGTACTGCAGAATATACTGCAAAGATATTTGAAGTCAGATGGTTTGAAATTAAATGACTATAAAAACAAACATGGACAGTAATGTATTGTGCCAGAGTAACACTTAAACATTGAAATCCAATGTATTATAAAAACATAACTCTTTCTTCAGCAAAATAATACAATAAAATTGTTTATTGAATAACTGTCGTTGCCAGGTAAATTAATGAGTGATGTGTCTATTTTACAATTGGAATGAAACAATATTTCTTACAGACTTATTTGCTTAATGTTTACAGCAAAACCTACAACTTTCTTGCTCATGTTAGCTGGAAATGCATAGATTTTTATGCTTATATAGGTCACTTTCACATCAGACTTGATATGCTGAGAAAATAAGTATGTTCCCATTTTATAAGAGGTATGTTTTCTTTAGTAATATTCCAAGTACAGTAGTAGTTATTGTGCACTTTGCATATATACAAAAGTGTAAATTATGATGATTTTTCTGCAAAACCAATGATACAATCATTATTATAAGAAAACCCTCTTAAAAATTGTAAATATTATTACTCTAAGGATTAAAATAAGGTAGTGTGAAACCAAGGCAAAATAATAATAATAATAATAATGATAATAATAATAATAATAAAAAGTCCTCTACTACAGAGAAAGCACAAGCATGTGATAGAGGAGAATCCCACTTTGAGAAATATGAAATTTGGTGTTTCCTTTTGCTGATAATGAGTTAAGAATTTCAGTCATTACCACTTTGGTAAGTCTCATGTCCATATGCTATTAATTGTTAATAGATGAAATATTTTGCAAAATTTAAATGTTTCGGAGTTTGTTGTTGTCGATGTTTCTTCTGATAGATAGCATTGGTATCTCTTCTGTCGATGCAGAGAGTAAGAAAGATATAAAAGTAGTAATATGTTTCTTACAGCTTGTATTTTAAAAAGACCATATTTGGGTTGTTAGTGCTGTAGTCTAGCTAAATAATTTAAACAATTGTGAGTTAGAGTAAATAAGAATAATATATCTTAAATCACAACACTGCTCACAACTTGTGTACTGTTATCTTTATAATCTTAGTTGAATAGACTAATCTTAAGAATGTCCAAATACGTTTGTGTCATTGAATTTTGTGTGAAAGGTTCCCTTCCAGAGAGATAGTGCTGTTTGCTCTTAATCTTTAAAACACATTTCTTTTCTTTTGAAGATCCTTTTTTTTGCAGGAATGATCACTTTTTTGTTTAGATATCAGTATTGTTCAAAGAATATGAAGGGATATACATGGTTCTTCAAAGCCTCCTAGGCTGCCAATTTGCCACTATGATAGAAACAGTAGAGGGAGCACAAGAACATCATTTTCATAGGTCCTGTTCAAGTACAAATTAGTATTTTTAACAAAAGTATTTTTCAAAGACATTTTTCTATGTTCAGCTACTGAACATGCTGTTCTCTTCCAATTAATTGAAAAAATAAAAAGAAATGTACTGTGGTATGTAGTGCTCCAATTTTAATTTCACTTCTGCTGGTAATTTTTTTCTCTGTCCCACTCAGATTCCATTTTAGTCGATAAAATTCTCCCATAAACTGCCATGAGCACTGAAATTCCTGTCGGACTCTAGACTGACCAGAGATGACGCAACAGTCAGACCTGGGTGACCAAGATCCTAGAGCTGCAGAGGAGGGACCACTCTTTTCTAAATCCAAGAGAGCTGCATCACAGTAACCTTTGGTTTATGATGCTGTCATTTCCCTTTTACTACTCTTTCACCCTGTATTTTCTATCTTGAAATTTCTCTTTTTTCCTCTAAACCTGTGATGCTGGGGGATTTGCACGGAACAAGAATTCTAAGGCAGCTGCCCTGGAGCTGTATTTTAGGGGACTATATATGAAAAGATGCTTATTAGAGAAGATCAATCTCTTCTTCTCTTTTAATGTGGTTCATGTTTTCACAACTTGAATTTGTGTGGTTTGGGAGTGAAGAAGTCCTCCTCATTTTCCAACCTTCCTCACATTAGTTTGGACCATTTCTGCAGTCCTCAAGCTCTTGATCTGCACTTGAATGTGCTGTTAGTGCATGTTGGTTGACTGGTAGTTTATGCTTGTGCATTTTTAATGCTAAGGGAACTGCCTCCCATGCTGAAGTATTTTGTTTCTGTTTTTTTTTTTTTCCAGGATTACCTCTGTGTTTGGGAGACCTGGCCTCAAGCAGTTGTTGAGGAGTCATGAGCAGCTCACATGCTTCTGAGGAAGCTCAGGAAAAGTGTATGGCTAATGCTTCTTCCATAGACACTTGTCCCCTCTGTGAAATGTTTCTGCAGCATCCAGCTTGGGTGCTGTGTGGGCACAGTTACTGCACGGCCTGTGTTGCCTGGTTATTAAGGTAATCCTGGGATACGAAAGAGCAATAGTAGATACTCTCAGTGTTGATTGCTTACTGTCCTTGCAGACAAATCTGAACTGTGCCTAGATGTGATGTTCACACAGTATTTGCAAAATTGGCTTTGCTGAAATGGCTCTAACTTTATGGCTAGTGGCTGTTCTGCCCTGCGGTGGTCACCTTATCTCATCCCAGTGAAGGAGGCAGGGATTAAAGAGAAGTGAAGAAAGTCTTGCCATTCTGCCACTGCAGCTAACCTTCGTATGCTGGCATATACTTATGTTTGAGTTTTGTAAATAAATGCAGCAAGGATTTTATTCCTCAGGTTTTCCTTCTTGTATCTTATTATTATTCCTGCAGATATTCCATCGCATTTTCATTACACTAACTGATGCTATTTTTATGCTTTGCTTTGCTTGTTTAAAAAAATAATAATTTCAAAACCTATTTATATGCCAATTCTTGTGTTTTAAGACATAGTAAACTAAATCCATGCTTACTGTAACTTAGGTAGTTTTATAACGAGTGTTAACTTGGCACTTGATGACTGAATTCAACAGTTAAAAAGTTTGCCTTGCCTCCAGGAAAGTGGCACATGAAGGGCCAAATTTTCCTTTCACAGCTGCTGGCATAAATCTGCTTAGTTCTCAGTAAAACTGAGAAGAGAATTTGGTCCAAAGTACAAAGTTGCACACGTTTTTATTTTTATTGACTAGTTGCCCAAGAGCAGTACATCCAAAAACTTTAAAATTACTGTTTTCCCTCTCTCTTAGGAATATCCTTGATCCAGAGTGTTTAATTTGTGGAAAGAAGATAGTCACAGATGATGCAATTTTTAATTTTGGCTCTGTGAGTAATTTTCCTTTTAATTTTCCAAACTTTTCAAAGCAGCATGAGAAGATAATACTATCTGATAATAACTACATAAAATCTTAAATCATAGTGAGAAGCACACTTAAATACCGGGGGAGGTTGTGTAGGCAATCTAACTATAAATACTTCTTTCCTTCCTCTGAACTATTCAATATTTTTGTATGAGAGTTACTGTGTGTTGCAAGATGTAACTTCTACTCAGTGATACATGTTCTGGTAAGTCCATCTGCTGTTGTGAACTCGGCCACACTGACTCAGCCGCCTCTGCTAACACGGAGCCCGAGGATTTCTTTGAAGTGCAGTGATGTCATTGCATGAAAAAGATCAAATTATGTTCAAATGTCATTGTAGCCACGGGTCACACTACTGAGAGATCAGTTAATAAAACCAATTTGTGGTGTTCTTGTATGCAGTAGCTAAGATGCACTTTAGGAGTGGTGAAGCAAGTTGCAACACTTTATAGGTGTATCTGTACATATGTGTATTATCAACGCAGGACTGTAGGAATGTAAGTATTAATTATTAGGAACACCATTTATATAAATGTGATGCATTGGACAGGCAGATCACTTAGACCTTGTATAATAAATATTAAGATCTTTTGATAAAGTTAAATTATAAAGCAATGTTGAATCATCCCATGATCAAAATTAAGTGTGAGGCACTCTGGTTTATTGTATCCATGGCTCTGCCACGGACTGTTCTTCTGAAGTCGAGAAAGATGAATTAAAATCTCCTTATCTATTTAGTTCTATTTTCAGTTTTGTGAAATGATTTCCTATTTCCCAGTCTGTAAAAGGGGATAATGGAGTTAATCCTTGGGATTGTTCCCTGCAGCCAAGATAATGCAATGGTTTCGTTAATTTAAGATATATTCTAAAGAATTTATGCAATTATAAATAACATCTTTTTTTAAAAAAAAACCTTAGAAGATATGCTCTGTTTTATTTATATAAGCCTGTCCTCTTGTACAGGAAAAATATGTTCAGTATATTTAAAGTATATTTAAAACATTATAAGTGTTAACAATCAATGACTGTGCATGTCATATCAGGTAAGAAAAACTGAATTCAATCAAAGTCAGGAGTGGGGTGGTGGTGGTTTTTTTGTTTGTTTTTGGGATACATAGCATTTGACCTGGAATGTAAGGTATTCCAAAGTTGGAGTATGCCTTTATTAACATCCCTAGATCTCAAATAGCTTCACAAAGACTAAAAAGAATTATTAGCCCAGTGATGCACACAATACTTGCAAAACAATGGTAGAGCAAAGAAAATACTGAAAAGAGTTTATTCATAGAGGATGCATTTTATGGACCCAAAGCAGCGAATTAGAGGAACAAACTGTAGTACTGAGCAGTTAAATGACTTTTGCAAGGCTAGGGATAAGGTCAGTGGCAGAACTGGAAAATTAACTGAGGTATCCTGGCACTCAGTGTGGATTTATCAGACCACAATGTTTCCAGAGAGAAAAAAAAAAGGAAAACAACAAGAGAGAAGGCTGCATAAAGCAAAGCAAACATGTTCTGCTATCTCCTCTCTCTTTCAAAGCGATTTGAACAAATGTCAGACAGTATTTTAAGAACAGGCACCCAAATACATTTTCCTAGTAATTGCTAATGGAAAAACGAAAAAAAAAATGCGTAAAGAATGTTGACTTTATCAAGCAGCCTTAAAATAGATAAAATCATAATGACAGATACCGTCTTGGAGTTGTGTGAAGCTGGAAGTGTGGTTCTTGTTAGCTTGTTCAGAACTGTGATTTTTGAAATGTAAATTGCACTTAAAGTTTTAAATGACATAGGAGCCCATCCCATTTTCACCTCTGACTTCTGAAATTTAAGTCTCATTGATATTTGATGAGACAGGCTACAAAGAGCCTGTATTGCTCCTGGAGACCAGCAAACCTTATTTGAAAATTGCATATTAATATGTTGCACTTCAGTGTCAAATTGTGTTCACTAATTAAAATCTTGTTTGTTCTATAATTACTCTGCTTCTATCCAGAATTCTGTTCAGTAAATCATTATGTCCTTTATGTATATTTAGAAGTGTGGAGTGGAGGTGTGTGTATATGTATACATACACCAATGTAGGAAGATTTACCTTCCAAATGTGGCATAGCTTGACTTCCCTTTCAAAGCCACATATGGGAAAGAAATGCCCATGTCTTCATCCCTTTCCTCCCTTCCTGACATAAAAATTATCTGGCAGTTTTCCATAGGTTCCAGTGGGTAAGAGGGGGGAATAGGGCTGAACGACATGGGAATGAGCTGAGAATCTCCTGCCGGTGACCCGTGGTCAGCGAGCTGTGAGGTGCCCAGCAATTCACTGGACAGAGCCCACAGAAAATGAAGTTCTTCGAAAAATCGGTGTCCATGACTCATAGGTATTATGAAATGGAAATTATTTCAAAACACGTTCTGTGTTTATGTACTTAACTAGGACTCTGGACATCAGAAAGCCTCTTTTATATCTGGGTTGCACATAGTGTTTTCTATTCCTTGGTTATTTATGTAAGGGCCTCCAAATGTTCCTGCTTTGAAGCACAGTAGCTTTAGTAGTTCCAAAGAAGTGCGAGTTTAACTGCTGCACTTTTGTGCTCTATCCAAGGGCCAGCCTCTGTATGTGAGATTACTGCTCTGCTTACATATTAATGCACTTGCCCAGAGCGTGGTATGCTTTAGTCAAAATTTATTCTCACTTCCCCAGAATAGAGATGACTGGCCTTGAGCCTGTAGGTTCTGGCAAGAAGCCAAGGACCATGTGTAAACAGGATTTTTCTGAAACTCATTTATTGCCATAATAGCACATTATAGTCAAGCTAGTCTCCAAAGGTAGCCTCACAGTTGCTTTTAGGGATGTGTGCAGATCATCTCTGAAAGTAAGACCCACTGAAGTAAATGAAAAGAGCTTGGCCATTGTATTTGTAATCCTTTTTTTTCTGTATTTCTGTATTCCCAAATCAGCCTCTGACTAAGAAACTTCACCAGTTGCATTCTAACTTGCTTCTCCCTGAATTCTCCTGGCAGATATGTAAGACCTGAAGTGGTTGAATTCCTGGTTAATAACATGTAAGCCTCTTAGTTCTTTTTTTATATCTTTTCTTAAGTTTCCATTTATATTTTACTGATTTTTTTGATAGCTAAGTATCACAAAATGAACTGGTTTTCCTCTTCATTTATTGCAACCAGAAATTCATCTAATTGATCCAACCTAGTAATTAGATTTTGCCAGGTTCTACCGTATCATGCACAGTGACACATTAAACTCACGCTTTTATGATCTAGTCATGAAAGTTGTTGTTCTGCATCCAAGTACTGTGACTAATTCAGGAAGAGAAGCCAGACATTCTCCCACTCTCTGGCCTTTGCTTTTCTAGCAGTGCAGAAATGATTTGTGTATATAATCTTCCTGAATATGCCATGAGCTTTAAGTAGCCTTAGCAGACTAGTGCTGTGTCAACTTTTTTTTTATTATTATTTTTAATTTGAAATATTTGATAGTTTTAGAAGAGAAATTAACCTGTGGCAAATTAATATTCTTGCTTTTTAGTACCTCAGTATCTTTAAATGACTGTTATTCCTTTTCGGCTGACTTGAAAACATATCATACTGAACACCAGCTGAAAGAGAAGATTTCAGACAGTATATTGTATTAGAGACAGTGGAATGCAAGTCCAAATTACCACTTTTTTTGTTTTGCTTGTTTTGTTACAATGATAGAATCTGAAGTCATTTGAAAAAGTTAAAACATGCACTTTTCTATCTTGGTATAACAACAAAAATGTTCAAAATAAGCACAGCCTGTTTTCTGAGTCCGTGGCTGGGACCTTGCTTTGGGTAGAGAAGTACAAATGCCAGAATCTAATTCTGAGGAAGGTATTTCACAAGTTCAGAAATTTCTTTTCATAAGTAGTCTCAAACTATCGTTTTTACATCCCTACCAATACATTAATTTATAGTATGGATGTAGAAATGAAGAGATGAGTAAACACAGGCTGAGCAAACTCATTTTTTGATTTAACGGAATACTACTTCGTAATTTAAGAAATCGCTGGTTTTTGAGGGTTGCTGCTTTGGTGTTCATGTATCATGACTTGTCCCATTTGACTGTACCTACAAAGGCTTATTTTCAGTCTATGTAAATGTTAATGTTTATGTATGTATCCTAGCAAAATGTGCTCTTAAAATCCTGCTGACCTCTAATTAGGAGAAATATCTGGTTTTGGCTCTTTCATTCTCCTGGAAACTAAAAGTTTGGTTTTGCCAGTTGCTGGGTCATTACAAAATTCCATTCCTTGTATTAAATTTTGCTTTTCAAGTTTTGAATGAACTTGGAATTTGGCTACATGTTTAAACAGTAACTGATTTCCTGGAAAACACTAAACTAACTGTCATAAAAACAACATTCAAGTTTAGAGAACAATAGCAAAGAAATATTAAGTAAAGGTTTCTCTATTCAGCCCTCTTTTTTTCTATTCCAGTGTGTATTATTTATACACAGGTGACTACAAATTATTTATATTTACCCTGTTTGTAGCTAGAAGTGGTAAATTGCAGAATATCCCCGGAGTGCTGTGGTTCAGATTATATTTGTTTGCTTCTCAACAACTAAAATGCCAATTTATTTTGTTGGTTAAGCAAACAAAAGAGCTGCATTTGATGCGCTTTGAATCATCTGAGGTATTAAACCACAAAAATGGGGATTTACAATGGAAAATCTATTTTTTTCTTAATGACAGCAGTCACCCTGCCACCCGTAAAAGGCCTCCAAAAGAAACAGAGAGTCGCGGTGTCTGGATTTAGCACTCTGTGAGCTGCTTTCAAAGAGCCCTGTCACGGGCTTGCATTGTCTAAATTGGCTTTACAACAGTAACCTCAACAGTGCATTCTTTCCACCGTCTATTATATGTTCTCAGCAGCTTATACTGAGGCCATGGAGCACATCCTCAGCTATAATGCAAATCCATGCTCT